TCCTTGTAGTATCCTCCTTCTCCACATGCAGGACAGATGGGTGCTTCCTGTGACACACTTCACAATCCAAACGACTCCTGCAGTCTTTGCTTGTGTGTCCATGTTTCAAGCACCCAAAACAAACGCCCTTCTCCTTTAGAAACTGAATCTTGTCCTGTTGTGTCTTTCTTCTAAACTGAAAGCATTTTTCCAGAGTGTGATTGGTAAGATAGCAGAATATACATTTGAGCTGGTTACTGTGAGCTGTCATGTTTTCCATTTCTTTATGTCCATCCTTTGGTGCATTAATGCTGGTGGCAAATGTACCACTTTTCCCTTTCTGCTTAACTTGCATGGATAGCTTTGTATAGCTGGCTGGAGAAACATCATTAATATTTCCAAACAGAGGATCTGAAACAATTTTGACTTGTTTTTCAATGAAATTCACAAAATCAACAAACACTGCTCTGCTTCCAGTTTGTTCCAGTATGTCACATGCCACATTTCTCCACTTTTCCCTCAGCTTGTATGGGAGTTTCATTAAGATCGTCCTGAGGTTAGCTGGCATGTCCAACTCCTTCATATACTTTACATGATGTACTATATTGGAGCAACCTCGAAGGAACAAAGCAAATGACTGCAAAGCATTAACATCCTCAGGTTTTATTGAGGGCCAGTTGTTGATTTTGTCCATGTAAGCCGAAGAGATTTTATGTTCACTGCCAAAATGTTCAATCAAAAGCGTTTTTGCTCTTTGATAACCTGGTTCAGAGGGCATATGCTGACAACTTCTCACAATGTCTCTTGGTTGCCCTCTAGTGTACTGTTCTAGGAAGTACAGACAATCACTGAAATTTTGAGTTTTATCCTCAATGCAATTTTCAAAGGCTCTGAGAAAAGATTTGAAATACCGGGGATCTCCATCAAATACAGGTATATTTCTCATAGGCAGAGCAGAGGCTGTGTTTTGTTGGACCAACAGCGCGGTTATTTCATTTTGACGCTGCATGATGTTCAAAATGTCCGGAGAATTGATGGATGGATTATCGTCACAAACATCTTGCAAACCCGGTGATTGTGTATCTTGCCTTTGAAACACAGGAATGACATTAGGTATGGGTAGTTGTTTTACAACATGTTTGGGTTGAACACCAACAGGGACAGAATTTAACAAGCGACTGGAGGTAGGTTCAGAGCTTTTATTGGCGGGCACATAGCGTTCAGCATTCGGATTTAGTTCATATGTCCTTTGAGTTTCTGACCTTTTCAAGTAAGAATTCATGCCATCTGATGTTTGAGATGCACATCTTGACACTTTAGAGCCACACTTTGAGCTTACTTCCAGAACCTCCAATTTCGCATTTGTCACCTTTAATTCTGCCTCCAGAGCAAGTTGTTCCTTTTCTCTCCTTAAATGTTCCCGTTTCTTCCGTAAGTCCTCTTGTTCAAGTCGTATTTGTTCCTCCTGATCCTCCAAAATATGCCTTTGTTTTAGAGCAGCCATGCGTTCCTGTAACGCTGCTCTTTCTGCTTGCACTAATATTTTTGCAGATGCACTGGATGAAGTCTTTGACAGTTTAGAACCAGCCTTTGAACGCGTTTCAGAACCTTTATTGGATACACTGTCCTCAGGCCCAATATCAGTTGGATTATCAGGTGGTTTAATTGGAAGTTCATATGAATGGCCTGTGTTTGATAACCAACCTTTGACGTCATCAATAAAGCTTGAAAAACACTTTTCCTTTTGTTCAAAATATTTATCTTGTTTCTCCTTCTCGTCCTGAGGTATGTCCAGTGACACAAATGACAAATGATGTTGTTTTGCCTCATCAACACATATTATTATTTGATCCAAAAGAGACTTGACTGCATCAATATTGTCTGCAGAATGCATCAACTTATCCATCTGATTCATGTACGATTTGGCTCGTCTGCATTGCACCGATCTCTTTTCCTGACACGTTTGCATAAAAACATCATTCCTTTAGCAGTAAAACTTGCGCGTCTTCTTGTAGGAAGCGCCGTGTCGCTTGTGGCTTTAGATGCAACGTCAGACATTTTACCCTTTGTTGATGTTGGTCATGTACACACACAGTTGCTTGCAAAGAGTGTGTAAAGCACATACCTTGTGGAACTTCATTTGTTGCGGTGGTTGCCTTTGTGCACGGAATTGAATGAACGCAGTAGCTGTTGTTGCGCGCGGCTGTGCGCATCACCTGTGAAGGCTTTGGGCCTTTGCGAATTCAAATCGCAGCAAATAATACCCTCCACTCCGTAGTGCAGCTCCAGCGCTCCAGTAGCTTCACCGTTATCCAGTACGGTGTCCAGGGAAATTTTACACTGTCGGATGGGTCGTATTATTCGATGTTTGCACTGCATCCAGCCCCCTGGCTCCGTCACTCCTAGGCCCTTTCCTTTGTCTCCCACATCCAGGTGAATAATCCACTTTCGAAACGGCAATTCAGCAAACGACAAGTCCAGTATCCACGCAAACCCACAATATATCCAGGGCAGGTTTTTTACTTAATGTAGTGGCTATTTGTCCATAAACTTAAACAAAAACAAATAATAACAAACTTCTCAAATGGCCACTTGAGGCTACGTCATGGTTAGGCTTTACGCAGGTTCAGAGGTACCAAAGCAAGATAATGTCCATAACAAGACTGAGTTTGAGGAGGTTTATTCACACACATAAGCAAGCTTACAGACATTTCTGCTGCCTCTCTCACGCTGGTAAAAAACCATATGCCCTCGTGCCTGCGGCACCTCTCACCTTGACCTACTTATGCAAATGAACATAACACCATGTGACCAACAAACGACAATGCAAGTAAAGCATAACTACAAAATAAACCAAATTAACTTTAACAAGAAAAGAAAAGAAATAAATTGGGCTATAAATTAACTCAAACCCAAAATAAACAAAAATAAGAATATAGCTCCAACATTAATATTTCAGCTTTTGAAATCTGCAAAACATAAAATCCTTTGGTTGGTTCATTCACATCACAGGCAAACTGCACCCAAGTCCACTTGGAAGCGACCACCTTTTTCAAGTGGTCTCGCTGTGGTTGTTTGCTCCGCAGCAGAGTTTGATCAGCCAAAACAAAAGGTGTGAAAGCAAAACTCAGGTACAAAGCAGGTGGAATCAACCACAATACAAAAAGGCTACAGTATCCATGCTGGTGCTGTTTGTTGCATGAGATGAGAACCTTTTGGCAGTGGTGGGCAGTGACGTAGCACAAAATTCTGGGTCTTATACATAAGCAGTCTCTCGTTAATAATAATAATAATAAATTTTATTTATAATGCACTTTACATTTCAGGGAAATCTCAAAGTGCTACAGCAACAAGGGGTTAAAAACAGTTCCAGAAAATAAAAAATCGCAATAATTGAACGTTGGACCCCTTCCTCTCTTGGTTCATGTCTCTCATGCATAGTGTGGGCGGATTACACTATTTTGTATTTCTTTTGTAAGGGATGAGTGTGGCCTTGGAGAGCCACCGCTATTGTTCATGTTTTCGGTGGGGGAGGGGAGGGGTAGAAAGTTCAGTCAGCCAACCAATTTATTCAGGCAATCTTAATTTAGTTATGACACTACTTACTTAGAAATAAAAAATTGCAAACAAAAACAAACATATATATCCCTACCCCCCCCCCCCCCCCCAACTACCACGCCCTTGATGGGGGGGTTGTCGCCACAAGCCACAGATGTAGTCTAATTATTTTGCCACAATCAAGACACACAAACAAACTTTATTCAAAATATTCAAACACGCATGTTCAGTCAGGCAGATTGTGTCCAAGGTTGTGTCCTTTGTAACTGGAGAGAACTGTGGGCCCAGGGCAGCCGCACCTTCTGTCCACCCACTTGTTCCGCTACAGCTAACCACGTTATTGATCACACCTCTGTTTTTGTGCACATGCACATGTCTGCTAAATTGTGTTGATCGCTTAGTATCACTCTGAGAAACTTTCCAGGGAGGGTGTGGAGAGAGTGTCAAAGAGAGAGAGATGTAAAATAAATACACAGGAAAGTATTTAACTGCAGATGTTGTGAAAGGTGACTCCACGAACCACAATCACTAACATCTGTGAGGTTGCTTTCTTCAAAGATGCCTCCACGTCTGACACCTGCACTTTAAAAGACAATAGACTCATTCTTGACCTTTCACACTTACATTTAGTGTCACCTTAATCTGTAGGTGAATCTGCTATACAAATTTCAGACAGCATCAGAAAACATTAATTCGAGATGTCCTCTAATATTGTATGTTGTGTTATCCTTTTGCTCATTTTTGGATCATGATTGCTTTTAGATGTTTCTTAAGGAAAATATGTGGCACTTTAGCTGATCAGTGGTCCAATATGTTTACCAGCTAGTTTCCAGCAGTCTGTCTGCTGCTGTTTGGTGCTGAGCAGGTAGCGTAACATAGCGTAGCGTACAGTTGGATTTTAGAGCTTTATACTGAAAAAACAGCTGCAGCTGTGGCTGAAAACAACGTTATGAGAGTGGTGAGAGTGGACCGAAACAGCAAAGTTGCGGGTCGGAGAGCTAAACAATGAGCTGAAACTCACTATGAAAGCGCTATAAAGGCAAAGGGAGCTGGAGATTCCGGTAGGTTCACATTGCTCCTTTCAAGCTGTCACATTGTCACTTGATACAAAATTGCTATTATAAAAACAGCATTTATAGCCCTTTTAAAACAGTTGGGCTAATGTTTCAGTAGAAGTACCAAGTGAAGTGAGTTTTATTTGACATATGCTTAAGTTGAATTGTTCATCAACATGTTGTAGTAGATAAGCAGAAGTTGAGTGTAGTATTATTATAGAGATATGTATTGAATTTCAATTCCTGCTTGGCCCATCAGTCACCCATACTGCAATGATACAGGAAATTGATGGCACTGAAACTAGAATGCATCTGAGACATGTCTTCTCACTTCACCTCCACATGTTTCTCTTCTCTCTGCCGCCTACAGTCCTTGTCATCCAGTCAAAACCACAGGTAACATCTAGATCTTACTTCATTTGCACAAGGCTGCGCAGTGGTAGAGCATGATGAAACATGTGACCACTGTTTAGGTTTTTAAGGATTCAGATTAAATCAATGTTTAGAGCAAGAGGCAATAAGAAAGAACTATAGAGCTGGCTATTTATCATCAGAATGAAGATCCTTTCTTTTTTCTGCTGTCTTCTTTATGGTAAGTGTGTTAAATAAAATGCATACATTGATTTAATTAACTAACTAAAATATGCTTTAACTCTTCACATGATTTAATTTTGGCAGCTATGTGGACAGAGGGAGCAGAGATCAACGTAGAGGGGTTTGAGGGGGGAGAAGTCTCGTTCCAGTGTTCACACAAACTTGCACGGAAAAACAATAAATACTTCTGCAACAATCCATGTTCTGTCAATGAAGATATACTGGTTACTGTAATATCTGGAAGAAGAGCAGAGTCAGGTAGGATAACTCTGGTGGACTCGGGGGACGGATTCTTCACTGTGACCTTCAGGCGACTCCAGCTGTCAGACTCAGGGATATACTGGTGTGGGGTGGACAGGCCTGTTTTTGACACATTCACTTCAGTAAATCTTACTGTGAAGGAAGGTACGTGAATGATCTTATCACCCCTACTTTACTTGAGTATTTCCACGATATGCTACTTTATAATTCAATGGCACTACGTTTCACATTTACCTGCAAGCTGGAGTTACTATTCAGGTTAATATTTCCCAAACACAATATTGGCTAAGTTGATAACATATAATGCATTTTTATATAACAAACCAGTGGTTCCCAATCGTTTTTGCTTGTGACACCTTACTGAAAAGCAGTGGTTGTTTGGGGCCCCTTGTCATGTTTCACAAATCCATGACTTTTGCTGCACAGAACGTTTTTATTGAAATAATTGCTCGAGGCTCAAAGAGGTTAAACTGTACAATATTTAAAAAACAAACAAATAGATATTAGAAAAAAGTCCAAAAAATAAAAACAAATATATGTATCTGAACTTCTGTCCAACCCCATTAATCATGTCACGACGCCTCAGATTCATTTTGTGACTCTCACAACGGGCTGAAACCCTAGGTTGGGAATCACTTGACTAAACTATGTAACTATCTATAAAGATGTTAAAACTAGCTCCACCATGAGCAGCTACACCAGCAAAATGCTTCTTACACTTTGATGCATCAGTGTTTACCATCTAATGTCATATATTACATCATTTGCTGGGGACATTTTACTGCGGAACGAGTATGTTTGACACTTTAAGTATATTTAGCAGATACATACTTCTGTACTTTTACTTTTAAATGTTTTTACATTGTTGTATTGTACTTTTAGTTAAGTAAAGGATCTGATTAATTCTACCACTACTGTTCCACACACAGCGGTTGCAACCGTCACACCTGAACTTTCTTTCACATGGACATATGGGAACTTTTCCAACTCAACAGAGTTAACATCTGGAATGAACACCAGTAGTCCTACAAACCTTTCAACAGGTAGGAAGAAAATATGATCAAATTATAATCCTTACAAACATAAATCACAGATAAACTTACATAAAGTAATATTCCATCCAACCTTACAGCCTCAAACTACACTAACGTAGGAGAACAGAACATAAGCACAGGTGAGTTTCTATCTTATCATTTGGTTTGTACATTTGCACATCAGCTGATGACTGACACTTGTAGATATGTAAAACTGTTGAGCCATCTTCTTGTTTTTGGTCAGACACTGTGTTGTATGCCAGTGTTGGGGGTGCTGCTGTGCTCACTATCTTGGTGCTGGCGATGTGCTTCAGGAAATGCAGAGAAATCTCAAAACCTCAACCACAAGTTTGCTCCAACAGCACAGACCTGATCAGTGCAGCTGAAAGAGAAGTATGTGGCAGAAACTGGAGCATGTCACCGCACAACAACTGTCTTCTTAGAGAAACATGACCATTGTCTTGAAAACCAATTAGATTAAGCCGAGCACGATCAAGTTTATTTTTCCTAAGCCAAAGGTCAATGCATGAAGAGGGGTTTTCCAAAGTCAGTAACTATTCTCTTTATTTTGAAACTGTGGTGTTTTTGCTTTAAAACCACAACTTATCAGTTTTATTGGCAATACAAGAAACACTCCTGCACTAAAGGAACAAACTTTTGTTCGTACCTGTCTCATGTATTTCTGTTAAATATAAAGCTACAACCAGTTAGGTTAACTTGACAAAACAGACTGGGGACAGGGTGGCAGGCCTGACACTGTCCAAAGATAAAAAAGAATCCATCGACTAGCACCTCTAAAGCTCACTAATGAACAAGTTCTCGTTTGTTAATCCTTATTAGAGATTCCATAATTCCTGGTTGCAGGCTCCAAGATGACTCCAGACACTGCTCGGACAAAGAAATAAGCAAATACGCAACCTCCCTTATTTTTATTAGTTTATTATCAGGTATATTTAACATGGACAATGTACAATAATAATAATAATAATAATAATAATAATAATAATAATAATAATAATAATAATAATAATAATAATAATAATAATAATAATGTGCCAGAATAAGGCATAAGGCTATTTTACATCTGTTGTCCCTGGACAGATGGTAATATGTCACACCTAAAAAGATAAAAGGATTAAAATAGTACATGCAGGTTAAGCCCAATACAAGTAAAAATTTACCTTAAATGCATAAAAAAATTGACTAGACCAACATAAAAACAAGAACAATTGGTCCATATCAACACCAACACACACATACACACACAAGCTAAACTGTCAGTCCATATAACAAACATTGTATAACATCAACAACATTGTATGTCCAACATTTTTGGACATACACAAAAAAACAATGTAGCTGGGCCAATAACAAACAACAGAGGTTTAACCCATCTAAACAAAAATGAGCCAGACAACCTCTTAGGCATAGCACAAGAGGCACAAACAGGCAGGACAGAAAAGTCAAGATAGCAGCAAGATTTAGTGTCTAAATGTATTGTTGAAAGTCCATTCACCATTCAGCAGGTTAGCTGAATGTGCTAAAGTGCACAACACAATTAAGTGTTACCAATAATGAATGAATATTGAATTAATATTAACGTGGGTTAACACCAAATTACATAGTTCTTTACAAATAATTTAGAAAATGATGAACCTGTAAAATAAAATGTTATCCAGTTTTGTCTTTCCAATTTATATTTTTATCATTATTGTTATGATGTTTTCTGATATTTGAGTTTGTAGTAGTAGTGCAACTAAAACCTATTGATTATTTCTTCTTCTCAACAGGCCAACTGTGAGTACGATGACATTGCTGGGGAAGTGCAGCCAAAAAAAATCGTATCCGAGCGATTCTCTTGTACTCACCACTCAAAACAGGACCCACCAACATCTGCGTCTACAGAGGCTGAATGTAACATACCCCTTCACATCTATGAAAACATCTGCTGCTCCAGACACAATGCAGATTCAAGATATTCAGGTGCAAACGTCCAAGTCAAGCATCAAGCCAGCTCTAGGGTCTACATCAAACCTTTGCCGTCTACAATATCTGAAAGAACTGGTGATGGCTGTTGTGGAAAACACACAAAGAATCCTACAGCAACGAGAGATGCAACAAGCAAACCTACAAGGAGCCGTACAAGCAAGGCATCAGCTTCTCACTCCATGTCTTGCAGTGATTCCACAGACGTGAGGCCCAGATCACTTTGGTTTGGTTTGGATTTATCAGAAACAGTCTGAGTTACTCTCAAAGGTGTGATCAGTATGATTTTCATGGACACTGATGGATAAGTGAACTGTATGTCCTATTCTGCTTCGCCAGTTAAATTTCTTTCCCTTACAAAGACATGCTGCGGGTTACAGACAGGTGCAGTCGTCTGTCTGTGGCCAACAGAGAGAAAATCTGCAAAGGAACATGTTTTTCTCCCTTCGCTGGGCCACTTTACATACTTACATGAATGTTTGATTTGCTTGATAGTTAGTACTTGATAGAGTAGAGTGAAAAAAGACGGCTGGGTGATGGCAGTCCAAGCTCAGATAGATCAGGGTTTACAGGATCACAGGAATACCTTACAATATAATGAAATCTAATATAACAGCTCTATATGAACATTTAGCTTTGTGAAGCTTCAAATGGATTTTTGAAACTGCTATTGTTAAGACTTTACCTGTAACATCACAGTGTTCTTGCATTAGATTGCATTTTATAAGGCACTTTGAGCTGCATTTCATGTATTTTTATTATTCATGGCATTTTTTGTGACTCTATGACACGGTTTCAACAATAATTATAAGCTGAGTGGTACTTGTTAGCTAGGCTTGTTCCCTTTTAGCAGGATGAGTTTATCTGGTGTTTTCGTAATTATGATTAGATTTAGCTTTTGCCTTATGTATTTCACAAACTCAATCACTAAGAAGTTGAAGCATCAAATGCTTTTTTCAATAACAGGGAACTTGGGAAATGAGCTTTGGGTAGCCAGAGTGCAGACAATGCAGTTTGCAGTTTAATCCCAGATTTTGAGAAGAAAAGAGACCTCTTCTCCAAGAGGCAAGGTGAAAGTCTTCAAACTGACTTCCTAACTGTAGCACTTGCCTTCATTTAAGAGATGTCCCTGTGAAGCAGTATCTGCAATGTATAAAACTCAACACAATTTTAGAAGTTTTTAGATAAATCCTTTATTGCAAATCTTAGATTAACACAATTCAACATGATTGGTCAATACTGGGATTACAAAGACTACAAACTGAAACCAGAACACTTCCAATACCAAATACCAATACTTTGTCCTCTGCATACAGATTCTGCATTCATATGCAGATATCTGTTTACAAAAGAAGTGTGTGTGTGTTTATAAATGACTCTTTGTGGCATTTTTGAACGTACAGTGGGTAAGGAAAGTATTCAGACCCCTGTAAATTTTTCACTCTTTGTTTCATTGCAGCCATTTTCCAAAAATCAAAAAAGTTCATTTTATTTCTCAGTAATGTACACTCAGCACCCCATCTTGACAGAAAAAAACAGAAATGTAGAAATTTTTGCAAATTTATTAAAAAAGAAAAAACTGAAATATCACATGGTAATAAGTATTCAGACCCTTTGCTCAGTATTTAGTAGAAGCACCCTTTTGATCTAATACAGCCATGAGTCGTTTTGGGAAAGATGCAGAGAAGTTTTTCACATCTGGATTTGGGTATCCTCTGCCATTCCTCCTTGCAGATCCTCTCCAGTTCTGTCAGGTTGGATGGTAAACGTTGGTGGACAGCCATTTTCAGGTCTCTCCAGAGATGCTCAATTGGGTTTAAGTCAGGGCTCTGGCTGGGCCATTCAAGAACAGCCACGGAGTTGTTGTGAAGCCACTCCTTCGTTATTTTAGCTGTGTGCTTAGGGTCATTGTCTTGTTGGAAGGTAAACCTTCGGCCCAGTCTGAGGTCCAGAGCACTCTGGAAAAGGTTTTCGTCCAGGATATCCCTGTACTTGGCCGCATTCATCTTTCCCTCGATTGCAACCAGTCGTCCTGTCCCTGCAGCTGAAAAACACCCCCACAGCATGATGCTGCCACCACCATGCTTTACTGTTGAGACTGTATTGGACAGGTGATGAGCAGTGCCTGGTTTTCTCCACACATACCGCTTAGAATTAAGGCCAAAAAGTTCTATCTTGGTCTCATCAGACCAGAGGATCTTATTTATCACCATCTTGGAGTCCTTCAGGTGTTTTTTAGCAAACTCCATGCGGGCTTTCATGTGTCTTGCACTGAGGAGAGGCTTCCGTCGGGCCATTCTGCCATAAAGCCCCGACTGGTGGATTGCTGCAGTGATGGTTGACTTACTACAACTTTCTCCCATCTCCCGACTGCATCTCTGGAGCTCAGCCACAGTGACCTTTGGGTTCTTCTTTACCTCTCTCACCAAGGCTCTTCTCCCCCGATAGCTCAGTTTGGCCGAACGGCCAGCTCTAGGAAGGGTTCTGGTCGTCCCAAACGTCTTCCATTTGAGGATTATGGAGGCCACTGTGCTCTTAGGAACCTTAAGTGCAGCAGAAATTTTTTTGTAACCGTGGCCAGATCTGTGCCTTGCCACAATTCTGTCTCTGAGCTCTTCAGGCAGTTCCTTTGACCTCATGATTCTCATTTGCTCTGACATGCACTGTGAGCTGTAAGGTCTTATATAGACAGGTGTGTAGCTTTCCTAATCAAGTCCAATCAGTAAAATCAAACACAGCTGGACTCAAATGAAGGTATAGAACCATCTCATGGATGATCAGAAGAAATAGACAGCACCTGAGTTAAATATGAGTGTCACGGCAAAGGGTCTGAATACTTATGACCATGTGATATTTCAGTTTTTCTTTTTTAATAAATTTGCAAAAATTTCTACATTTCTGTTTTTTTTCTGTCAAGATGGGGTGCTGAGTGTACATTACTGAGAAATAAAATGAACTTTTTTGATTTTTGGAAAATGGCTGCAATGAAACGAAGAGTGAAAAATTTACAGGGGTCTGAATACTTTCCGTACCCACTGTATGTTTCCAGTATGAAGGGGAAGCTTTAACCTTCAAAAAGTCAGCAGCTGTCATAAGATTTGTCTGTACCTAATAAACACATAAACTTTAGGGCTGATGCCTCTCTGTGTGTATGTTAAAGGTTGTGACTTTGGCAACTCCTAGTGGTCATATCAATATATCACATATTATCTTGTGTGTACCATGAGGCAATATCAAATTGAATAATGCATAATGAAGTGGAAAGAACATATATTTAAAGGTCCGGTGTGTAATATTTCTAAGGATCTATCGATAGAAATGCAATCTATGATCCATAACTATGTTTTCAGTGGTGTATAAAGACCTTACATAATGAACCGTTGTGTTTTTATTAGAGTGAGCCATTTATCCCCCTTACTAGGACGTTGCTACGTTGCGCCTTCATGTTTCTAAAGTAGCTGAAAACAGACAAACAGCGCTACATAGCGTGTTTCGTCACTACGTTCTTCTTGTTCTACTTCAGACACTCATCACTACATTGAATACGTACGTTCAAAGAAGTAGTAGTAATAATACACAGCAGGGTCGGCAAATAAGTTTTGCATCAGAGCAATATTTTCAACCATTAGATGGTGGATGAGAATATAAGACGTAATATTGACTTCTATCAACAAGGTGTTCAGTTAGTTCAGTTAGTAAAGCACATGACTTGCACCAAGTGGGTTGTGTGTTTGATCCCACCTGGAGACAGTTTTTTTTTCCTCTCTCTCTTCAACAAATGGATTCTTGTGGTGTATAACATATGTGCATTTGACCATTACAGCATTCTGCAGCAACTGTTTTTTCGGGTTACATTGCAGCATGTGCTGCAGTGTTTGTGTTTCGGTTTTTGATCCGCATCCATCAACCTAGAGTGCTTTTTCATTTCCCCAGTATCTCCAGGCACAGGACATTTAGGGGAATCACGTTTTCTGATGGCTCTTTCAGAGGTGTGTCAAGCTGGCTAGACTCTTTTCAGTGTCGTTCAGAATTTCTCAAAGCTCAGTTCAACAACAAATAAACCATTACAATAAACATAAGCTTCTAGTGTTTTTATTTTGTAGGCAAAACCACTAAAGAGGAAGTGATTATGTGAGTAACTGTTGCAAAATAACGAGATGGCGATCAAAACAGTGGTCCACAAACAAATGGGTGATGTCACGGCGAATATGCCCACTTTTTTCATTCAGTCTACAGTTGGTTTATTTTAGGTTTAAAGCTGGTAAACCTGCTGCTGCTGAAAACAAGAGTAATTGAAAACAGTTGTGGGTCTTAATAACCAAAACAATTGGCTAAAAGAAGATAAAATGCTCCATAAACCTCTTAACTGCAGTCTGGTGATAAATCTCTGTGGATTTGTGACTACGAGCATCCCATTCACCTCGTAGTCATTTGATCTATTGTTAATAAAACAATATTGACTGGTGCTGCTTCAACTGTTTATAAATGATTTGTTAATGCTTTATAGATCAGTAATAACATAAATTTTGGCAAAAGGAAACTCAAGATAACTCAAGTAGATTACAGGGGAGGATAGAATTGACTTGAAGGATGTGGCAAATTAAACTCTATTTTGCAGTAAAAAATATGCTATGAGGACACTGAAAGTTTTTTGATTCCCACAAGCTGCCGTGATTTCACTCTTGTAGGCTGAAGGTTTTGTGTGAAGTGGTCTGATCAGTGAAAGAGGAAGAGGTTTTAACACATGGACATGAAAGCACCAGAACACTCATACGTGATCTTTAGTCCAGGTGTCTGCCTCATTATACAGCTTGGAAAGAAGAGTGTGTGACTGAAAAAAACTGGGAGAGATGGGAGCAACCTGGATCTCATGGAGAACAACTACAACAGTCATCATTACTATACTACAAATCCAAGGTGGGCTGCATGCTATGCATTTAGACTTTTAATGCTGATGAAAAATACTTCATTAGAGATAAACTGTTTATTAAAACACATGGTTACATGATTTTGAGACTAACACAGCTTATTCTAACTGGTAGCTCTGATCAGTGTCAGAACCACAGCTGTTACCGGTGTCGAAGGTCAGAGATTTGACTTCAGATGTGTATATCCAGATGGCTGGGTGCACTATCATAAGTACTTCTGCCGTGACAATGACGGCAATGTGTCCTCCAATACCCTGATACGGACAGAGAAACACAATCAGTGGGAGACAAATGGACGTTTCTCTCTGTTTGACAACACCTCCGGGGCCTTCTTCATCGTCAGGGTGGACAAACTCTTCTCATCGGACAGCGGGACATACCGGTGTGGGGTGGATGTCAGCCATGACCCTGATTATATCAGTTTCATACTACTGAATGTTTCCCGAGGTACGTGTGTCATGGCACAGGATCAACATGTTAACTACGTATACGTGGTATTCTGTCATGCACATGACGTTCATATGCTTATAATAAAATCAGGTTTGTGGTTAGTAGCTTACAGCTAAATAGGTAGATTACAAGTCAGTTACTGTATAGTTTTTGTCCACCTGGTCATTTAGATCTAAAGCTGTCAGGCCCCTCTTTCTATAATGAGAACTAAGTAGTTTTAACTTTCCCACACATGTTCCTCTTTTCAGGAGTTTCTTTAGCTATAAAAATGCTTAGGTTATTACAACTGCACATTTGTATACTTTTGGAAACTAATTGTCTTTTTCCTATTCTTCAACAACAGTGAACCCTGCAAGAAATCTCACATATTACTGTAGGATATGTGTAACTACACAGTACATCAGACACAGTGGCTCAGTGTGTTTTTATTTTACTTTTGTACTTTTATATATAAATAAATTCTTTGGCTTTTTTGCATTTGTGCTTTCCAGTAAGTGAATCACCCGTCTTTCCAAGAGATCTCACAATAGACAGTAAGTGATGTGTGTGTGTGTGTGTGTGTGTGTTTGTGTGCCCATCTTTTTCACAATATTCATAATTTTATATGCGTGTAATTCAATCCTCTGCCAGGTAACTTCAGTTGTTGTTCTCTCCTGCAGAGCTCCACCTGCCGCTGTACTTGACAGCAGTGATGTGCATGGCAGCGATACTGTGTGTGTGTCTGTTCACACTTTGTCTTCTGCTGGCTGTCAAACAAAGAAGACCAGCTCCACGCCACAGTAGAGAGGTTTGTCCATGACAGAAACCTTTAGCCACGCTAGCAGCATGGCTCTTGGGTTGGCAAGGCTGGCTGGTCCACCACTTTTGTCCAGACTGAAATATCTTAGCAACTAAGGGATGGATTGTCATGAAATTTGGTACAGACGTTCATGTCCCCCTCAGGATGAATAGTGCAGTTAGTCACTTGACTTTTCATCTTGCGCCAACATCAAATGACCTCAGCTGTAGGCTACTAACATTTAGTGCTAATTATCAAGTGTTAGGATATAGTCAACACAAGTTCTTATGGGGATATATGGGGTTGAAATCCTTTCCGTAACAATAGACTTTCATTTACTATGTAATCCAGGGCAACTGTGAGCTACACACACAGATTAACAGACATGGAGTTACAACTAATCCAGATAACAATATTTCATCGTTTCTACTGTTATTGCTGTGTTTCTGTTCATTCATTCATACAAAGTGGTGATCGTGGTGAGCTGCAGATTTGTTTTGCATTTGCTATGTTAAATGTTTGTTACTGAAAGGGAAAGACTACTGAAAGCCTTTAACTTCCTTAATGTTATCCTCACTCTCAAAACAAACTCATAACAAAGCATCAATCACAGTTTCTGCAGTCCCCACATGGTATCTCCTGTGACGCCATAGTGTAATATGTAATATCGTAAACACTTATACTTGCTGAACATCAGCATGTTAGCATTGTCACTGTGAGCATGTTGAACATTAGCATTAAGCTCAAAGCTCAGCTGTGCCTAAGTGCAGCCTAACACTAGCATGGCTGCTCACTGAAAATTAAATATTGTCCAGTAAATTCATTCTGTTTATCCCACAGATATCATCAGACTATGAGACAATGATGCCCGGTGTAAGAACTGAACCTGAACTCGGCTGTAGCTGCTCGGCTCCAGACTGCGCTGATCTTTCAGCTCTACCACTGCCACCACCTGACCTCTGCTCCCACTTCACATCAAAGCACCGGGAGTCCACTGTCACTCTCGGCCTCGATGAATATGCTGATGTGGATGTACCAGGGCACATCTGCCGGTACCAGCATCTGGATCCCAGGCGGTTAGAGGAGCATGTCTATCACAGCCTTCATGGAAACAGCGGGCCTAAAGATGGACCTCTGGGAGTCGAAGAGCAGATTAACTGATTAAGGATAATTCCAGGTTAAAATACTACTTATTTTCTAAGCTTGGCTGATCATTTCTTGCAGTTACTATAACCTTACACTCACAAAAGTAATTGCTGAGATCTGGGAACATTACTTTACTTCACTACATAGACTTTTGAGTCATTCTATGAAATAGTTGCCATTTGGGTCCGCAATGTTTGACACAAGATGCATAAATTACAAAAAATATCCCAAAGTGTGTTTCCAAAGCTTAAAGCTGTCAATTCAAGTGTTCTAGTTAGCATGATATATAATAAAAATACTATTCCTAAAGAGTAACATACTAAAACCACCTGTCACTTACCACCCCATCACAAGTTTTATTGTGACGGCGTGGTTCTGCTTCTTGTTGTAACGATTGTTATAATTGATTACATGTGCATCTCAAAATATTAGAATATTAAAATAGATATTTATAATACAGAAATTTCAGCCTCTTGAAAAGTTGAAAAGTTGGGAAAGATGTTTTATGCACTCAGTACTTGGTCTGGGGTCCTTGACCCTGAATTACTACATCAGTGCGGTGTGGTATAGAGGCAATCAGCCTCAGCACTGCTGAGATGTTAGGAAGCCCAGGTTGCTTTGATAGTGGCCTGCAGCTTGTCTGTATTGTTGGGTCTGGTGTTTCTTATTTTACTCTTAAAAATACACCACAGACTCTCTAAGGGGTTCAGGTCAGTTGGCTTGCCAATCAAGCACAGCAATACCATGGTCAGCAAACGTTGTGGTTTCGGCCCTGTGGGCAGGTGGCACATTCTGCTGGAAAATAAAGCATAAAGCTTTACATGTCTAGAATCTAGAATATGTCAAAGTTTCACATTTTGGCTTAAATTACGGGAAAACAATTCTTCCTTTTTCCGATATTCTAATTTTCTGAGATGCACCTAAGATTATAGTAGAGATAATAGCTCTCTTTTAAAACAGCTGTTGTGAGGGAGGAGGTGTCTTTGCATCACATTAAGCCAAACATACTGATCTTTTAATAAATCTGTAATATCAGTAGACTCTGACATTTTCACAATAACAGCAACTTTGTTTTGGCCTATCATTAAGTCACAGTAAGTCTACATTTATATCCAAAATTAACAAAAGTTTCTAATGTTAGATGAAGGCTAAAACAAACAGAGAAACAGTTTGTCCGTATCACCCTGTCACAGGGTCATATTGTTAAAAAATGATGGAAAGGAAGTGAAATGTTCCATAAATTAATGTTAAATAAAATTCTTGGTTTGTGGACTAATCAAAAAAATCCTTAAACTTTTATTAGACTTTTTTAAGTGAATTAGAATTTTTTGTACAAACAATGAGGCCACTGACATGTTGAATTCAAATTTTAGATGGAAAATCTAAGAATTAAAAAAATTATTAAATTACATACTTTGTATTGATGGTTTCCAACAAAAGGACATTTTACTAGTAGGAAAATATTACATTTTACAAATGTATTGCTTGCATTACTACTCAGAGAGTGCACATATTGTCCGTGACGGGGTGGTACAAGAACGGCTCCCATGTTTGAATAAAAAGGATAATATTAATAAGGATTTTGTGCATGAGGTGGGAAAATATATTTTCTGGGGGGTTTATCATATCTTAACAAGTTGTAAGTAAAAAAAAAAGTTTGCTCTTGATGAAAATTTGGAAAATTATAAAGTGGAAATGGCAACCATTTCGTGAATGACTCTTACCTTTATGTTAACTTTTATTTTTTCACCAATTAACTTGGTGATTAATGTGTTATTTATACTAAAAGGAATGATGGCCAAAACACCAGCAAGTTGTTGCTGTTGTTGTTGTATAAACTTTACTGTGTATGTAAGAAACAAAAAGTCAAGGGATGGTGGTCAATTCAAAAGACATAACATTTCGGGAGTCAAGTAAATCAAGTAGCAATATTGTTAGTTTTTGCTTTGTTTTGTTATTTCTAGAAGAAAATGCATCATTGTGTATGGCATGAGCAAAAGAAAAGACTGATTAAAAGATATTACAGTCTCAGCACGAGTCTCAACTCAACTCACTGTATGTTTTAAGCACTGTCCAACTATAATTTATGAGACATTTCAACTAAATAAACCAAGTGGTAATATCTGAGGGTGTCCTTGTGTTAATTATTTACTGGCCTGATTGATCTTGAACATTCACTGTGTGACAGGCAAAAGATGGGAGGGTGTTTTGATGCTTCCCACGTGGTTTACATGGTTTCAGACGGTCATGTAGTCAGAGGAAGTGCAACAACAAAGAGGAACCTATGACAAGTGCAGAGCTGTCATTTATTTTAAGATAATTACTTAGACTTGACATCAGGCTGAGATAAGAAAAGGCAAAGGAAAGCCAGATGTACATATCGTATCAGTATCAGGGAGATGATATTCCTAATTTTGGTCTTTCTTCTGGGAGGTAAGTTTCCCGGGATGAATTCTTTTGTCTCTTTGTCTCTCTTCCTCTATCTGAATGTTTGGTGTTTTTGTGGCTGTGAGTTTTCTCAGATTGACAGGGTTTAAAACAAACAAAATGTGCTCACACAAAATTTGGGTTATTTTTACAGACTCTAATCTCTGCTTGTTTTCTTGTGAAGTACTGCCTAGTTTTAACTTTTCTATAGACCTCTGAAAATTATTGAAATGACACAATAAAAAACAGAACAAACTGCCAACACTACACTACAATACTCGCAGACATGTGCAGTCTCTGTCAGGGACCAGAAATCAAAAGGGTCCGGAGCCGTAAAAGTTTGTGAGCCACTGCTTTAAAGAATTACATTCACATTTAGCTGACTTACAATTGCTATATATGTCAGAGGTAGCACACCTCTAGAGCAATTAGGTCAGTGTCTTGCTCAGGGACACAATGGTGGATGGGTCATAGTGGGGGATTGAACCTGGGTTTCTCACACCAAAGGCATGTGTCTTATTCATTGTGCCACCACCATCAAAGAATAGAACAGTCTATCAGGTTGGTATGAACTTTACAAATGAGGTACAGACTGTGTAACTAGTGAGGTTAACAGCTGTTTGCTGTCACACAGTATGACCTTCGTTTGTTTTGCGCAGGGTTGCGGGAGACAGAAACTGTGTCGGTAATAGGAGAATTGGGAAAGGACATCACAATAAAATGCACTCACGTCAACGCATTTTCCAACATCAAATATTTCTGCAAGGGAGCATGTCAAGATGCAGACATCCTAATAAGTAGCAGAAAAAAGGAGAAAGGTTCAAATGACAAATACAGTATTATAGATGAAGGAAACACGTTCAAGGTGACCATCTTTCATCTGACGCAGAAGGACTCAGGAACCTACTGGTGTGGAATAGAGAGAATTGGTGTCGACACGTACAATATGGTAGACCTCACAGTCATAATGGGTGAGTTGATTTAGCACTGTATATGAATGTGTATTATGACATTGTTATTTTTCACCACTTAAGAGAGAAAGATTTCGGTTCCATTCACTTAAATGTGACCAATATTTCACAACACTGTCTGTCTCAAACCGATCTTCTCTTTTCCACAACAGACAGACATTACAGGAAAGAAACCAAATACTAACGCAGCAGATAAACAGTAACTGAGAACAAGGAACAAAATTAAGATCATTTTTTTGTTTCTTTTTTCTTTCAGGAAAACCCGATGAGGCAACATATGCTTTATCCTCTAGTAAGAAACTGTATGGTTGTATGGTGATATGTATATGTATATATGTATGTATATGTATGATATATACATCATCACTGACGTCATGTTGTATCTTTTTCAGAAAAGCTGGCGTATGTCGGAGCAGGGCTTGGGGTAGTTGTGCTGACTCTGGCGATTGTCCTTCTAATATTCTTTAGACATCGAAACAGAGACATCACAACATTTTCTGGTATATAAATCACAGACTCATATAATAATATTTTCAGAATACGATGGCAGTTTGAAACACAGATAATGGAAAACACCCAGATTCACATCAACAGCTATCCCACACATCCAGCAACGACTTTGTGAAAATTGCCCAGTGCTTTAGCCAAAAAAAGTCTCAGGGTTACTGTCAAGAGTTTTACAGATGTCCTTTTAAAATGGAGCCCTTTGTGGGTGGCAGGGGACCCATGGTTACCAATGGTGGCCACTGGGCAACGAAGCTGAGTGGTGGTGCCATAGCTACAGTTACTCTCTGAATACAACCACGCAGCCACCTAACCTTGAAACCATAGTTAGCACTTTCGAAACAAGTTAGCTACCACAGAGCTACCACATAGAAACCACTCTGAACACGGAAACCACCTAATAAAGCCCAAGCAACAGCTCTATAGCTGCCACATTGGAAACTCATTTAACATCTTTTCAACTTCTTTGCAACCATCTACAACAGGCCTAATAATTAGCACATCTCAAAATGTAACATTTTAGCACTTTAATAGTGGTAGTTCCTGTGTGAGAGCAAGAAGAGGGACATGCTTTTCCATTTTATACAGATTGTAAAGCCCCTAGAGACTAATTTGTGATTTTGGGCTCTACAAATAAACTTGACTTGAATTGACTTAAAATGTATTCAGTAATTTTCTAGTTCGATGTTTTGCCTGTTGAAACAAAATGTTGGCGAAGGATGCAGCCGTATGGCCCAAAAAGAAGTAAAAGTAAAGATGTAGTTTAATTTCACAGGGATTTAAAACGTTGTAAATGTATCATTACTCTCCATACAGGAAAGGACACTGTTTATGCATCACTATCCAGTCAGAAACAAGGTGCACACCACATCACTACTTCCTCTTCAACAGCCAATGAGGACCAAGAAACAGATGGCACGACTGACGACATCTTCAGATCGTCGTCCGTTCAGCATCAAGATACCAGCAGAGATCATGCAGACAATATTTACTCCAATGTCACTGTTTCATCAGAGCCTCAGATCCAACCAGACAGTCTCTTCTACTCCACTGTTAGCTTCAACAAACACACCGACTGCACCTCAGTCACACCTCGCACTGCATCAGCTACGTATGCCAGCATTAAACACATTTCGACAGATGAATCAACAGTCTATTGCGATGTCTGAACTCAGTGCTGCCATCTTTACTGTTGAGTAGCCTACAGTATCTTCCTAAGAATTTGTGCTTTGCTAAACAGCCAGTACGCACCGCTGAGATGCATTTCTGTTCTAAGGCTGAATGAATATTTATTTTAATAATTCTGAATTTATTTACTTTTCAAATGATTAAAATACTAATTTAAAAAAGATTTTACCCTAATAAAATATTGTAAAATCAATGTGTGGATTTTGTTCTCTGTAAATTTTTGTATTTTCTG